CCCGTGTCCCCTGCATCGGCAGGCGGACTCTCAACCACTGCGCCACCGGGGAAGCCCAAGAACATTTTCTTAATTATGAAAAAAGGGGGGTGTATGTAAATGAATTTTATTTGTGGAAATATGAAGTAGCCAATATCACTAACTTTAAAATATTTTTCTCTCGTGTATATATTATGCTAGTGTTTTACTATGGCTGTGTCCTTCATTGACCACATTACTGGGTCCTTGATCCCCTTAATGTGTTAGACAAGGCATTTACATGACATTTCAAACAATGTTCTGAGCTCCTTGCTGGTTAAGCCAATAACAGGAATAACAGGTAATTAATTTTTTAAAAGTCAAGGGTTTAAAAAAAAAAGAAAAGAAAGAAAAGGGAATTCCCTGGCAGTCCAGTGGTTAGGATGCCGAGCTCTGACTGCCGAGAGCCTGGGTTCAGTCCCTCGTCGGGGAACTAAGATCCCACAAGCTGCACAGTGTGGCCAAAAAAGAAAAGGAAAAGTCAAAGGTTAAAAGTTACAAGAACATACATGGTCATGAACCGTTTAAAAGCAGGGTTTTCGGTCTTCAAGGTGAGAATATGGGGATCTGTAAATACTGCGAAGGGGAGCAGTTGAGAACAGGGCCGATTTATTACATTCAGTTATTAAATCAGTCAAGTATTCTGGAGTGCCCACTTCTGGAAGTCAGTCTTCATTCATGCATTCAACAAATAAATGTTGATTGAGTGCCTCTGTGCTCCAGGTACTTTGCCAGGTGCTGGGGACATGCAGGTGCTATATCTCCAGCCCTTGTGAAACTCCGTGTCTGCTAAAGGAGGAAGACACAGAAATGGCTGCAAAATGATCACAGTTCAATATGATCAATGGGGATAATGTTCCGTTCGAGGGTTGTGGTGACATAGAGGGAACGGAGTACTACCGCCTGCCCCTTCGGGAAGGGCTCCACAGATGGCTGAGACTTCCTCTCTTCGCCTCTACTTACTTTTCTCCCCTAGAGTTCTTTTAGACTAATTCCAAACATTCTATCATTTTACCTATAAATAATTCAATATACATCTCTAACAGATAAGGGCTTCAAAAAATGAAAAACGTAACCACAGTGCCGAGTATAATTAATACTAATTCCTTAGTATCATGTAATACCAGTGCAGTCCATTTTCATATTTCCCGTGTTTTCTCAAAATGTCTTTTACAGCTGGTTTGAGTCCATCCAAACAAGTGTCATTCACAGCATTTGGTGGTTTCTCTATTTTAGTACATGCTTAATACCACATTGCTGTAGTAGCAAAAACAAAACAAGAAAACAGTAAATGGGACGTGCCCATAAAGTAGGCAGTGATTTGGCCTACAGGCAGGATTAAAAGGGAGTAGGGTGGGAGGGGGATTGTGAATTTTTTCCATAAACACCTCTAGAGCGACTTGGTGCCAAGTGCATGTGTTATTTTTATACTCAAAGATAAAATCTTAATAAAGAAGAAAACCAGGATAATAAACTGATTTTCATTGCTTTTGTTCTTTATGATGTCTTTGACTAGGCAGCTTTAAGTTCCTCTGGGAGCTTGGTCAGGGCGAACCCACCCATTTTCTTATAGACTGCTGCTTGGAGTGGAGTAGCAACAAGCCAAAGGTGGGTGGCTTGGGAGTGCATCAGTAGGGTATTACTAAACTTGGACTTGGGCTAATTTTTAAATCATATACGATTATGGTTGGAGAATCCTGGTGGATGAAACGCTTTGCAGATCTGTTGGTTCTGTGCCGTTACAGTGATTTGGGATTTTAATGCATTGCTGTCAATGTTTAACACGATCTATTTCCTTCTGTCCCCTTCCTCCTCAGGCTTCAACCATGTTAAGAGCCTCCTTGGCACCCGTGTAAGTAATTGCTCTTAGGAATTGTTATTAAGGAGAATAGCTATGGGTAAAACTGAAATTCAAAACAGTTTTAATAAATGCTCTTAACCGCCTCGCTTAGACGAATTCCTTTGATTAAGCTGGAGCTACGTGTGGGTATTAAAGGAAATACCAGTAATCATAAGTAATACTTATAAAATACTTATAAAAGTATCTTTTAAAGTCAATTCTATTTATGTTGGTGAGGTAGCATCAAATGGAAAAAATTGTTGAATTGTTCCTATAATATTCTATAGAAATCAGTTTAATCTACTATCATAGGGCAGTCAACAGAACGTTGCAATGTCTAAATTTTATGTTCTCTCCTGAGTCACACTGTGACCAGGGCCACAGGATAGCTCTGTGTGTGCTGGAGCATATTCCTATCCAAGTCAGTTATGCTGTGTCCCCCGTGGGGGTATCTGATGCACGGGGGCTTCACCAGGCATGTGTGTTGCACTAGCAGGGAAGCTGAGAACCTTTGGCATGGACCCGAGGACTAGGGTGGGTTCTGGTGACCCTCTGAGCCAGCCTTGGGTGGTGGTGGGGATTGGAGGGGTGGGTGCTATGATATTACCAAGACACCTGCGGTCGATACAACATTCCTCCTTCCCTCGGTCCTGCCCGAGTCTGACATTAACCCTGCACTGTGTTCACTTCAGATGGTGGCTGTAGAATGCAGTGCTTATGAGCACGGACTGCCAGGGTTAAAACCCCCCTCTGCCACCGGCTCTGTGACCTTGGACCACTTTTATAACCTGTCTGCACCTCAGTTTCCTCATGGACTGTGGGAGAGTCGCTGGACCACAGAAATGGGGGATAGCCGAGCAACTTAGTAATATTGCCATTATTGGCAAGTAAATATGGCCCAAATATATATGACCGTTTTTCCTCCTTTGAGTAGAAGCTCCCCAGCTATAGAACATTATCAAACTTGGCTTTACAAATGGAACTTTTTTTTTTTTTTTTTTTTTAAAAATAATACACAATGTATTTATTTATTTATTTATGGCTGTGTTGGGTCTTCATTTCCGTGCATGGGCTTTCTCCAGTTGTGGCAAGTGGGGGTCACTCTTCATCGCGGTGCGCAGGCCTCTCACTATCGCGGCCTCTGTTGTTGCGGAGCACAGGCTCCAGACGCGCAGGCTCAGTAATTGTGGCTCACGGGCCCAGTTGCTCCATGGCATGTGGGATCTTTTTTTTTTTTTTTTTTTTAAATAATACACAATGTATTTATTTATTTATTTATGGCTGTGTTGGGTCTTCATTTCCGTGCATGGGCTTTCTCCAGTTGTGGCAAGTGGGGGTCACTCTTCATCGCGGTGCGCAGGCCTCTCACTATCGCGGCCTCTGTTGTTGCGGAGCACAGGCTCCAGACGCGCAGGCTCAGTAATTGTGGCTCACGGGCCCAGTTGCTCCACGGCATGCGGGATCCTCCCAGACCAGGGCTCGAACCTGTGTTGTCTGCATTGGCAGGCAGATTCTCAACCACTGCGCCACCAGGGAAGCCCTACAAATGGAACTTTTTTTGTCTAGAGAGAGAGCCTGTTTGCACTTTAAATTAAAACTTTTTTTCATTTTGAAATAATTTCAGAGTTGCAAAAATAGAACAAAGAATTCCCATATACCCTTCACCCAGATTCCCCAGTGTTAATATTTTACACAAGCCCAGTGCAGTTATCAAAATCAGAAAATTAATGCTGAAAAAGTACTGTCCTCTAGTCTGCAGGGCTTATTCACATTTTATCAGTTGTTCCATTATGTCCTTTCTCTGGTCTGAGGTTCAATGCAGGGTCACACGTTAGTCTTGTCATGTCTTAGTTTCCTTTAATTTGAAGTCATTCTTCAGTCTTTGTCTTTCGAGGCCTTGGCACTTTTGAAGAATACTGACCAGTTATTTATAATTGGAATTTTTTAAAGTATTTGTATTAATTTTTAAACTCACAATAGTATCTGCCTCTGGAAAAAAATCAAAATAATCAATGTGCCATGTACAGAGGTTTACCATTTGCTGTATTAAATAGAAGACTGACACTCCTCCCCAGGAGTGTTAACTGAGACCCCATTCGATGCCCTCTTTTCTGGCTTTTTCTTCCAGGCCCTATAAGAGGATCTCATTTTTTCTTTTAAAAACTAACCTTAAGGGAATACCCTGGTGGTCCAGTGGTTAGGCCTGTGCGCTTTCACTGCTGAGGGCACGGGTTCGATCCATGGTCTCGGGGAGCTAAGATCCTGCAAGCTGCGTGGCGTGGCCAAAAAAAAAAAAAAACTAGCATGTAATTTTTTCCTATAATGTAAGTAATACATGCTCATTATAGGAAATTTGAGTCTGTAGAAACACGAAGAAGAAAATTTAGAGAACCCCAAATCCTACCCCCCAGAGGTATTAGCTCAGTTTTTACTCCACCCTTAAAAACAAATGAAACCCTACAGCTTTAGTCTTTCCACTCAATTCTTCATGAATTCTCATTTAATATTAATATTCTCTGCACAGTATTAGAAGAATCATATTTTGTTTTGTTCTTAGTTTTTTTATTTTGAAATAATGATAGATTCATAGGAAGCTGAGTCCCTCAGTGTCTCAGATAAGGTGGTGACATCTTATCTGACTGTGGTACAACAGCAAAACGAGGAAATTAACATGGAGACAGTGCAGACCTCATTCAGTTTTCAATTTTTCAATACACTCCAATCTTCTTCTATTCAATAAAACAAAATGGGAAGATACTTGTTTTAGTGACAAGGCATCTGAGGTGGTCCCTTTTGTTTCTGGCCAGCCACATGCAGGTGTTGGGTCATCTGCACCGTGTAGATCTCTGAACAGCGGTCTCTCTTAGTTGAAACCTGCCTTCGCCTGAGGTCTGACTCGGAGTCCTCTTGAGGAGGGTTTGCAAATTGCCCTACTTACTACCTGCCTCACTGGCACGTCCCCACTGCCGCTTCCTGGCCACACCCTCCTACCTCCTGGAGGGTCAGCTGTGCACCTCGTCTTCACAGTTGTTTTCTGACCCCTGTTCTGTCCTTCACATCACCCCAAGCCAGTCCCTCAGGCTTGAGAGGGACAGTGGCTTCAGGTTTTTAGGGAGGACCCTAGGGTAGCCTGCTGAAACTAATAGGCTTTGGATTCTAAATAGAGCTCAGGATTCTATGATGCCTCCAAGGTGATTTCATCCCCCTGGTGTGGAGCCCTGGCCTATTGTGAATGTGGTGGTGTCTAATCCCATTAGGCAGAGACTCCTTGTTTTAGGAAAAGTGTTATCTAGACCCTGGTACATACAACAGAAGAGACAGAGCTGAGCCCGTTGAAGCTGGGGTGGGGGGCCTGGAATCCAGCCCTCTTGGTGGAGGCCTGGAGGTAACGCCAGGAGCACAGAGAGCAAGTGGGCCACTGCCCGTCCAGTGTGTCAGAGCAGCTCTAGATGAGACTGTCATGATACTCAGGAGGTGTGACGAACACGCCCTTTTGCTCTGTTCTTTCTCTTTGAACTTGTGTTGCTGAGTAGGAAGTTGAAGGATGTCCCATTACTGCCCTCCTTGGATTATGAGAAACTGAAGGAGGATTTGATTTCGGGGAGTGACCGCTCGAAAGCCTTCTTGTTGCAGGCTCTGCGCTGGGTAAGTACCTTTTCCTTGAAGTTAAAAAAAAAGGGGAGCGGCTGGGCCCGTGGGCCATGGCCGCTGAGCCTGCGCATCCGGAGCCTGCGCTCCGCAGCGGGAGAGGCCACAACAGTGAGAGGCCCAGGTACCAAAAAAAAAAAAAAAAAAGAAAGAAAGAAACAAAGCAAGACAATGGTCTGAGTGGCATTAAAACCCATTTTCCAGTGGAAAAAGTAGGGGTCTTGAATCCTAACCTGCTAGAAACTGGGTTCCTCATTTCTCTAGACCTCATGCCTAGTTTTTCAAGCCAGCCTGGTGGGCTGGTGGGTTGATGTGGTCTCTTTTAAAACACCCCTATGTTGACGTCACAGCTGCCATTGCCTTCACTCAATGATTTGATACATGATGATTTGGTACATGTAGTTTCAAGGCCCCGGAGACATCCTGGCATCTGGCCCTTCCCTGGTCCTGAGCCAGACTCACAGCTGGTGGCGTCGGTGTGTTAGAGCACGAATCCCGCTCACACTGACCCCCGCAGAGACCTCTGGATTTAGGTATTCCCGCGCAGCCACACGAGCAGGCATCAAGGGTGAAAACTTATTAACAAGTCTTTAAGGAAAATAGAGTGTAATCTAAATAGTTGCTTTTCTGGGAATTCCCTGGTGGTCCAGTGGTTAGGACTCCATGCTTCCCCTGCAGGGGGCACAGGTTCGATCCCTGGTCAGGGAACTAAGATCCCGCAAGCCACGCGGCGCAGCCAACAAAAAAGAAAAAAGAAAAAAAGCCTTCGTTTAAATAAATAAATGGTTGCTTTTCTCGCCAATTTTCAGACTGATCACAGTTAAGGCAGTGGTTCTCAAGCTTTCTGGTCCCAGACCTCTTGACACTGTCAAAAATTACTGAGGAACCCAAAGAGCTTTTGTTTATGTGAATTTTGTCTACCAAAATTTCACAGTATTAGAAGTTAAAGCTGAGAAAATGTAAAATATATATTTATTAATTCATTTAAGATGAACAGTAATAAACTGAGGACATAACATAACATATTTTTTATGAAAAATAACTTTTCCAAACTAAAAGAAAATTAGTGAGAAGACTGACATTGTTTTACACTTTTATAAATTTCTTTAATGTCTGGCTTAATGGAGGGCAGCTGGATTCTCATCTCTGCTTCTACATTCAGTTTGTCACAGTATCTATCACGCTTCATATGACCTCTGAGAGGTTGATCATTAAAAAGACAAAACATGCCTTAGTATTATTATGAAAATAATTGTGACCTTCTAGACTACCCTGAAGGGACTCTCCAAGTGTAGTATGGGGAACCCTTCTAGATCCCCAGGGTTCCCCAGACTACATTTTGAGAACTGCTGGCCTAAGTCAATACTGGTTCACTCTTCTTTTTTTTTTTAATTTTTATTGGAGTACAGTTTATTTATTTATTGGGCTTTCTCTAGTTGTGGCAAGCGGGGGCTACCCTTCGCCACGGTACATGGGCTTCTCATTGCGGTGGCTTCTCTTGCTGCAGAGCACGGGCTCTAGGTGTGCAGGCTTTAGTAGTTGTGGCATGTGGCTCTAGAGCGCAGGCTCAGTAGTTGTGGCGCACGGGCTTAGTTGCTCTGCGACATGTGGGATTTTCCCGGACCAGGGCTCGAACCCGTGTCCCCTGCATTGGCAGGCGGATTCTTAACCCCTGGGCCCCCAGGAAAGTCCCTGGTTCACTCTTTAACTGAACAATCTATTCTAATTCACCTTGCAATAGAGTCAAACCCCTTCATGGATCCCCAAATTTCAGGTTATCTTGACATGCAAATGTCTCTGAGTGATTTCCCCATCTCTCTGGATAACACTTGCACTCTGATGGTTGTCAGTGCTTCCGGGAATATGGTCTGGAGGAGCACTCTGAGGACGCCTCCAGGATCAGCAGGG